ATAAGCGCCATAAAGCGTATAACCTCCTTTCCCAGCGGGAGATGATGCTTGACCATGAGAGCCACTCACCACCTGGATGTCGAGGTTATTCTTGGGGTTATAAACCGAGGCCAGAGACTTCAGGAAAGAAAACATGACTGGCTGTGTGCTGTTCCAGCAGCTGATCAGCAGCCGCACTTTAATCCGCTTCTCATATGCAACTCGTCTCAGCTGCGTGTCAATGTCCGCCCAGTACCTGCAGAGGGCGCCACATGCACAGTACAAGCACAATGTTAAAACTTAATGTTTCTCACTTCCTTTCGGGATGATTTGATCAGGATATCCTGGTGTTTTATTGTGCAAACACGTTCATATTAATTTTATTACTGTTGATTTGACTACAGTTGATGTAGGACGATAAAAGAAAAACAAAAACAAAGATCAACTGTTTTCCTGTAGTTACATTTCACAACTATCAACAAAACTGCACCTTTTAGGATGTGAAAACTCCATGGTGGGCAGGTAGTTCATGACAGCGATGTAGACGAAGCTCTCAGCATCCTCCATCACACTGAGGATGGACTGAAGGTCTGGAGTCCTGCCGGCCGCACATAAGGACGGAGGGGAACTCTGATCGAGCAGAAAAAAGGATCATCAGTTCATTTTAGCAGCATTTTTTTAAAATACAGAAAACTACAATATGCTAAACTACAAATGCACAGTAACGACTGGACGAACGCGCGGCTATGTGGGACTGTGGGTTGATTTAGTAGCCTCAGTGGGACTGTATTTAAAAAACATTACATTTTAAAAAGGTTTTGAATCTTGAATCCTGGAAACGTGAGCGCTGTAACAGAAACCAAAACTCTGTGCTGCACATTGTTTTCGAACAGCTCTGGAATCCCCCGGCCCTGCATCGCCCTGAAAGAGGTGTCGATATCTGCCTATTTCTGTGACTGTAACAGAAACCAAACATTCACATCTTCTTTCAGTACTGATGGCCAACTGTAGGAGTCAGAAAGTGACAAATTGTGGTTGCACGTTGCATGTATACAAGCGCAACGCTGAACTGTCCCTCTCTCTGCATGATGTGACCATCTAGAAACACCAGTTATTTCCCATTTGGTCAGAAAGCAAACCTTAAAACTGCTTAGAGGTGATTAACTGGCTCGTATGACTCAACATCAAAAGAAAATCCCGCTCACCGACAGATAGACGTTGGATGGCGTGTTGTTAAGAGGCAGCTGGAGGGGTGTGTCCTTGTTGTAC